TCTTTCCCTCAGATCCAAACCTGAGCTCTGATTCGGAACACGCAAATTTATGTGGTTCGGCAAATTGTCTACGTCCATGGAGCTGCAAAGGATTTTATTAGCTTGAGAAATTAAACCTGTCGATCACCTCGATGATCATAAGAAAGCACTCTTTCTCTCTTCCTCTTTCTCTCTCCTCTCCTCTCCTCCTCTCCTTCTCTCTCTCTACCCGAGAGCTTCAAACTGAAGTACACTAGAAGAAGAACTTAGAAAGCTACCAATGCTGAAGAGGGATAACAAGGGCATCTAGCATGTCTATTTATTAATTTCATCATACCATTAGGCACATTGAGGAATTAATCAAATAAATAATGAAGCCCATTAATTATTTCATTTTCTCTTTTGTAGCAAATCATAGAAGAAATTAAGAACAATTAATTTAGCAATTAATTTCGAGTATCAAATCCAATATGTTGTCAAACATGAGAAAATGTCAATTTGAGCAGTGGATCGGTTTTCATATTCATAACAAAAAGAATTAACGTAAACATTATCGTCACATATTTACTTAGTTATTAATTAAAAAAGAGTTGAATTTAAGTTGTCCAGGGCCAATAAATATTATTCAAAAATAATTAAACTTTATGTTAGATATTATTTCAGTAAATATGGGCTCGAGATCTTTATGGAGTCCATCCATGTTGCCAATCTCGACATTAACAATCATCTTGCCAATAGGGCTATTGTCCATTGTCACCAAGAAAACTGTTGTTTGTTGTCAACATCAATGTTAACACTCATCGTAGTCACAATCGTAAACACCCGTATTGTGCCCAATGTGTTGATGCCAACAAGGTCGTCATCTAACGTTAATGCTTATATAAACACCTATGTTGTTGTCACTCACCATTACAACTAATGTGATCACCCGTCGTTAACATCAACACTAATGTAAGCAAAATCAATTTCAACACTCATCATTGACACCAACATTGTTGTTCGCCATGGCCAACAAACGAGTCACCTACCATGGCCATTAGTGAGAATTCTCGTCCTCTCCATCAGGATCGATGTTCACCTTCATGTGCAATTGTTCTCCTCCAAAAAAAAAGAAAATTCAAACAAACTATCAACGATATCTTGATGACAACTCAAATGTATCAGTGTTCTTTCTTCTACTATGAAAGTCATCTTCCATAGATTATGTCTACTATAATATATAGATGCCTTCAAAAACTACAAAAAGGATATTTTTTGCAATGTATGGCCCACATTAAGTTGCACATATCAACAAGGCCAGTTGATGTTGATTTTTTTTTTCTTTTTAGAATTTCTTATTTAAAGACTTCTCTTTTATAAGTCATTCTCAATTTATCTATATATGTTTATGTAGAATATCATATAATACAAAGATGATAAACTCACACTACCACTATGAACATCTTGTTATGTGATGCCCCTTTTCAATTTTCATTCATAATTAAAAATTTCAAATTTAGTCAAAATTAAAAAATCTATCTTATTTATTATCAACTTAAATTTCATTTTAGTCATTTATTCTAGCATTGGAATAATTTTTCTGTCTCAAAAAAAATAATAAACATTAAAAAAAATTAATATTAGCTTATATTTTTTATATTTATTTTGTTAAAAAAATCAATATTTAGTTAAAAATTGAACTTATATTATTTTGTGATTTTCAGGTTTGAATAATTGAAACTACTATAATATAAATTATATATTAATCATTTTGAGTAGCCCCCAGCCCCCCTCACCACACACATACATCCAGTTACACCACATACACCATTCAAATTAAATATTAGCCATCATCTAATAAAATTAAAATAAATGAGAAAAATTAGATGATATTCTTGAAAAACTTGAAATTATTAAATTTATTTTGATATAAATATAACATGTGATAAATTCACCCACTTTTACATTACATATATCTCAAAATAAATTAAATAATTTTAAAATTCATCCAACTCAAATCTCATCATCACCATGGTTGCTTAATTTATACTATAAATTCAATAGATCATAATGTTGAGAATATCTCAGCTCCAAATATTGTGTGCGGACGAGATAAAATTAAGTGCATGTCGTCGTATTGAGATGTTATTCGCTCCTAAAGATTGGTGACGACCCCGTCGGAATCTTCCTCCGCCCCTCGCCGGCGACCGCTCAGGGAAACCATGCCTACAAGAAAATCAAAGTTGTCTGTTTGGTTAACTGCGGCGGCGACGTCGTCGTGGAGGAGGGTCTTGCGTTTTCCGTGGATGGCGGCGGCGGCCCATGATCGGCGGGTGAGTTCTTCTATGAAGAGTTCACAGACCTTGGAGAGGACGATGGGGGCTTCGACTGATATCATCATCTTAGCATCCGACGCGTTGCCGCCGCTGGAATTCTTCATGATCTTCTTTATTCTTGTTAGAGGGAGGGAGTGGGGACCTATTCTCGACGAGGCGTCGCTGCCGGTGAACATGCCGGAGTAGACACCCGGACGTCTCATCTTTCTCTTTGTCTCTCTCTACACTCTCTTAGTTTATCGTAGTTCTTTGTCTGAGTTCAATGTCGAAGGGTCTGCTTATGTAGTAATGGAGAGGAGATTCGTCAGATGCAGCTTGCCGGCCGCGGCGGCAATTTCATTAAAAAACAAAAAATGGAAGCAACATCCTAGCGGCTGCTTAGAGAGAGAGAGAGAGATAGGTAGAGGATTGAAAAAAAGAAAAGGTCAACGCTGATAATATAAGATATATATATATATATATATTATATATATATATATATATTAATATATATATTAATAGGAGTGTGCTTATGCTAATTATGTACCTAACACCAAGACTGATATCATTTAATCAATTATATGTTTTGATATAATATTTAGATCTTATAGCACATAAGTATTTTGGTTAGGAGTTTTAATTGGACTATGAGATCACCCATAATTATTTTCAGAAACTTGCAAGTGAGTTAATATGGATCAATGAGGAAAAGGCAATGATAACTAGAAAATATAATCTAGTCCTATTGCCTAAGTAAAGCACTTAAAAAATAAAATTAAGGAAGTTAGTTATTGAGCAAAAGGCCCACTTAATTTTTTAAGGTTATATTTGAAATGAGGAGTTCAATGAAATGAATGCAACAAATAAATTCAAGCTTGCTTAATTTTGTGACCATTACTTTAATAAGATGACTAAATGTATAGTATAGTTAAAACTGAGTCGATTTAGGCAATTCACTGGAGTGTTTATCTTTTTGACATAGATTAAGAAAATTCTTCTTACGAAAACTCCTAATTTTTCCATGACCTTATACATTTATGAGTTCATTAGTTGACTCGTAAATTCATCCAAGTTTCGAACCTTATGAAGCCTCTAGTAGTAATAATTTTATTATCTATGACTAATTCAACTTTGACATGGAAGGACTTAGCCAACAAATTACTTAGCTTATTGAAGTTCTACAAATTAATTTTGCTAATTAAATTTTTTTATCATTAGAAGAAAAATAATCTTGACCCAAGATGCCCATATTCATTTATTAATTGTCACAAATGCTCATAATAATCTCATATTCTAGAAGAATTTATCATGCTTAAGCTTAAAGTAACACGACAGAAGACATATAAACAAACCCCTGATATCCCCAACCACTTAGATTCCATCAATAAGCTGATTTCTCCATCTTACATGTCCTCAAGTTCTATCTCTTCCCATTACACATAAATATGCCTCCTAAATGTGGCTAACCTCTATTCTCACTGGCAACATTCACTTTTGTGAGGATATTTTTTTAACATAAAGTTATCTTATTTCTCATAATTAGTAGTGTGCACTCCTGTAGCAAATTTTCTTTAACCTAACTTCATCTCATTCACTACCAGTGAATCATCCATCCAATTGAATATATATACTTTTTAAGAGTTTGATGAATAAAGGCCATTTGAAAGAGTTCCTAGCTTTTTATAAGAAAGATAAATATCTTATCTAAGAGCATCTACAACCTTTAATCATCATGCCTAAGTAAACAATTCAAATATCATAATTATTAAGCTAACATTAGAAGAACTAATCTTGAAGCTGCTCCAACTATTTTTTAATATGATGAACTACCTTCTAATTATAATATTTATAATTAATGGTGTTATTATTATCATTATTTTATTAATAAATCTGACTCCTTTTGTATTCTAATTGATATTGAGATTTCTGTGAATATTCACTTTGTTAAATTATCATAGAAGATGAGACTCAGCTCTCAAACTTCTAATCATTTTAAAAACCTCCTTTTAGTTATTCTAGCTGGAGGTATAACCAAAATGTTCTATTAGGCTTATATTAGTTTAGAAGGGTTCAATAAAGAAGAACAATGTAATATTATTATTGTTGGTTCCCTATTATATTACAATTATTATCCTTATAAAAATATCATTATTAAATTCTTTTCATACCATGGTGTATTCAAGACCTCTTATTGTGAAGCTTTCATATGCGAACAACTTAATCATCATAAACATTAGGCTACACTTGTCACAAAGATGATACCTAAGTATTTTCAATAGGATTTCCTATATTGCTCTTTTTATCCTTTTTATGGAACTCTGAGAAAATTAAGATTCAGTGGAGGTTAAGGAAGTTTTTAGCTTCAAAAGTGAACCCATGAAGAAGAAATTTTATATAAGCTTTTCATGCCAATATACATTTTTATATTTGCTTATTTCTAATTAGCAAAATAATTCAATATTTTTTTTATCTAGAGATCCACAAAGATGATGGGAATTAATCTCAACCTCAACAGTCATTATTGTTGAAAATACAAAATCTTCCATCAAGTAAAAGAAAAAAAAAGTATTATAAGGAAATCAATATATGAATAATGGATTTGAGATTTTTTTTTGAGTTAAATTTATTTTAAATTCTTTTACATATACTGGAATTTCTAAGTTATGATTGTTAATTAAGCTAGTACAAGGTAGTAGAAGGTAGTGAATGTGTGTAGAATTCACAAATGAAATAATGCTTACATGCTGGACTCCTAACTTCTATATGACTCTTAAGTTTGAATCATTTGAATTAACCCAATTATTAAATATTGGTATTTTCAAAGATAACCTTACACATTTTGGGGGATTAGCTTAAATTAAAGTTGAAGTACCAAAATTCATAAGACTAAGCTTAAACTAAAATTCAAGTACCCCTAATCAAGGAGCTAAGTTTGATTTAAAAAAATTCACCACCAGATTCACAATGTATCTATTAGTGAACAAAAGCCACCCTCTTTTTAAGACCAAAATGAAAATTTGTATGATTCAAATATTAGAAAATTGCTAAAAATTCACGTTCTGAACGATTTCAAAATTCATCAATCTTCAGAATTGCTTCTTAAGTTAAATGCAGCATTTTAAAAATTAATATAAGTTTTTTCTAGGACTTCTATGGATAATGGGTTGGATACTCTGAGGCTACCAATACCCTAAGACATCAAATGCTCTAGCTGAAATAACTCAAATATATTAAATGTAAATGCCCACATGTGCTCCAACCAATGTGTCGAATATTAAAACAGTAGGTTTAAGAATCTATGTGAGCTAATCGAGTTTTCTTGTCTATAGGCCAGGGTTGTATACCCCACCAAACTAGTCTATCCATCTCCTGAAAAGGACTAGAGATGACAAGTCTAGTAATTTCAAAAAAAATGTCCAAATTCTAAAATAGAAATTTACAATTTTACATCACCTAGTTCGATCTTCCACATATAAGGATAGGTGTCGACAAGTCTAATACTCTAAAAGTCTAAACTGACAAAACTAAATATCCTTCCTTCAAATATAAAAGTTTTAAATGTTCAAACCTTTAGGATGGCCAAGTAGATTGAAGATTTCAGCTGGAGGGATCAATCTTTTAGATTAAGATTTTTAAAGTAACCAACCAAATATGTAAGAAAATTTCAATCACTAAAAGCTCAATGTAATTTCATTCACCCTTCGCAACAGTCTGTCGAGGGTGATGATACACTAAAAATATATGTATTTTTAGACGCATGTTTTATACTCATTTTTGGTGATATTGCACTTTAATGGAAGGTATTTTTATGTTTTCTTACAGGTTGTTGATTTTTAGGACTTGAAGCAAAAAAGGATGGAATTTAGAGTGGAATTTAGAGTCAAAATGGGAATTTAGAGTCAAAATGGCGTTTTTGAAGAAATACTCAACATCGACGGCGCCAGAAGCAGCGCCGACGGCGCAGACTTACAGAACATATGATGGATTTTACTCAGCGCCGACGACACCAGAAGCAGCACCGACGACGCCTTTTGACAGAGAAGGCGGATTTAATTAAATGGTATTTGTCGCCGACGACGCCAATGTCGGTTCAGACCATGTTTCTAGAATATTCGACAAATTTGGATGCTTTTTGAATAGCTTTTGGATGCACCTATTAGAGAACCGACTCTAGGCTCTATTAAGAGCCAAAATTGATCAGAAAAACTTGATCGGAAAAGGCACTCCTCCTCATTCCTCTTTGCTCATTTTTGCCACACCTCGCCTCCATACATTTTTTTTCATCTTCATTCCACCACCATTCATGAGTCTATTAGTGATTTTTCTTTAAGTGTTTAGAGTTGTTTAGAGTTTTTGTGGTGTCCATTGTTCTTATAATTTAAATATTTGTGGTGAGATTAAGTGTGAATTCTTCTCTAAGAGTGTTGGAGGAGATTTAAATTGAGAGATTTCTTCTTCCTACATTTCCTAAGAGAGGCTACAAGGGATTTGTTTTGACAAAGATTTTCAGATAAGTGTTATTTGTTTATTAGTGTTGCATGAACTTTCTTTTTTATATAAAATTTATGTTTTGTTGTATCTTTCTGATAAAATCTGAATAGTTTTGTTTATCTTTCTCCCCACTCTGAGATATGGTGAAATAAAGAGATAATATGGATGTGTCAATATTAAAATATAAAATAAATTGTGATCATTTTCCAACTCTGAACTTAATTTATTTTTCGATCTGGACAATTGAATTATTAAAATGTGTTGTGAAAAATATGATCCGGGAAATTGAGTATGAGTTTTACAACAGAGTGAGAATCACATTTAATTCCATGGAGGAGTATTTCATTCATATTTTGTTCATGGAGTTAAGTGCAAATAAATAAGGAAATATACATTGTTGGGTGTAGAATTGGAGATTTTATGGTGACAGACTAATGAC